GGCCAAGAGACATATGAAAAAATGCTTAAAGTCACTGATCATCAGAGAGATGCAAATTAAAATGACAATGAGGGAATCACCTCACATCTGTCAGAAAGGCTACCATCAACAAATCAGCAAATGACAAGTGCTGGTGAGGATATGGAGAAAAGGGAGCCCTAGTGCACTGCTGGTGGGAATGCAGACTGGTGCAGCCATTAAGGAAAACAGTATGGAGTTTCCTCAAAAAACTAAAAATGGAACTCCCATTTGACCCAGTGATCCCACTTCTAGGAATATATCCTAAGAAATCCAAAACACCAATCAGAAAGAATGTATGCACCCCCGTGTACATAGCAGCACAATTTATAATAGCTAAGATCTGGAAACTGCCCAAGTGCCCATCAGTAGATGTGTGGATAAAAGCTGTGGTACATTTACACCATGGAATACTATGCAGCAGTAAAAAAGAAGAATCTCTTACTTTTTGAGACAGCATGGAGGGACCTGGAGAGTATCATGCTAAGTGAAATAAGTCAGTCAGGGAAAGACAAGTATCACAGATCTCACTCATATGTGGAATCTAAGTAACAAAATAAACCGCTGAACAGAGTGGATCCAGAGACATGGAAGCATGGAACAGAGTGTGGAATCTCAGAGGGAAGGTGAGGGGGAGTGGGTGGATGGGAGGTAGTCAATGAAAAACCTTGTATGCACATATGCATAACCCATGGACAGAGACAATAGTGTGCTGAAGGCCTGGGGTAGGAGGGCTGGGACAGACTGGAGGGGGTCAATGGGGGATAAAGAGGGGCTTATGTAATATTTTGACAATAAAAAATTATTTTAAAAATAAAAATAGCCCTAGCTAGTTTGACTCAGTGGATAGAGCGTCAGCCTGCAGACTGGAGGGTCCTGGGTTCGATTCCGGTCAAGGGCACATGCCTGGGTTGTGGGCTTGATCCCCAGTGGGGGGTGTGCAGGAGGCAGTCAATCAATGATTCTCTCATCATTGATGTTTCTGTCTCACTCTCCCTCTCCCTTCCTCTCTGAAATTAATAAAAATATTTTTCAATAGATCCAGAGACATGGAAGCATGCAATAGACTTATGAATCTCAGAGGGAAGGAAGTGTGGTAAGAAATTGACCAAAGAAATTATATGTATATATGTATAACCCATGAACACAAACAATTGTGTGGTGAAGGCCTGGGGAGGGGTTGGGAGCAGAATGGAGGGGGTCAATGGGGGGGGGAGAGGGACAGCTGTAATACTTTCAACAATAAAGATAAATAAATAATAAATGAGCTGTGGGACATGTGCACATTGGAATACTATGTGGCTGTAAAAAGAAGGATCACTTACCCTTCGTGATAGCATGGATGGACCTGGAGAGTTATATGCTAAGTGAAATAGCCAGTCAGAGAAAGACAAGTATCACATGATCTGACTTATATGTGGAATCTAATGAAAGACAAGTATCACATGATCTGACTTATATGTGGAATCTAATGAACAAAATAAGCTGAGGCATGATGAAACAGACTGACAGATCTCAGAGGGGAGGGGGAATGGCGGTGATGGGAAGAGATTAACCAAAGAACTTTTATACATACATAGCCCATGGACACAGAAATAGTGGGGTGAAGGTCTGGGGTGGGACAAGGGCTGGGTGGAGGGAAGCAAGGGGGAACATTGGGGGACATCTGTAATACTCTTAGTAATATAAATACATGTATTTCTAAAAAGAGAGAGACATGAATCTCTATCATTCCCTCTGGGGTGTGATGCTCTTTTTTAATTTACATCTTGACCAGGGATGAAGTAGGGAGGCAGTTTCACAGCATTCCACTTGACCTTACCCATTTTGTAGTTTTTAACCCTACAGGCTAAGAAACCAATTTGACTTGCCAACTACAACTACATTTATTCTGGTCGTACATTCAAGGTCTTGGGAAACTACCACTAGATGGGACAATGAACCCTGTTGACCTACCATTAGACAGGACTCTACTTATTACCTGGCTCCCATATTCCCCCATTCTAACACAGAGGTCAGCATGATGCCTCAAGTCCTTAAACAGAGCCTTGAAACTTGTGGGTACTCCTCTTTTCCCCATGTAAGTTCAGGTTCCTTTGGGGGAGGACTGGAAAAATCATCTCAGATGTTTGATGTGGTGTTGCAGGTCCTTCCTTCTGATAATTTGGCTTCTTTAGTCAATGGGTTATGGGTCTGAAAACTGCCTGAGGTCTGTAAATGGGGCAAAAGACTGGCATTTTATTCACCTCAACCTCTTAATCATCCACCCTTGGTTCCATTTGATTGTATAGATTGCGCACCACCCATGTTGTCTGCCCATATGTTGTGCCTGTAGAGACACCTTGTTCTTTGCCTCCATAGCTCTCTGAAGATAAAATATTTCCTCTACTTTCCCAGGCCCCCTTCCACCTTGATCTTACTGCTCATTATGCTCACTGAGCTCACCTTGTTTCTGAAGGGTAAGTGCCACCCTCAGGGAGCCCAGTTCTGTAACAAACCCCCTACTGTCAGCCTCAGCCTACGGAGGACAGCCACCACTGAACTTTTCACTGATGCCAGTGCCCCCTCCCACTAGCACATTCTGCACCTAACAGGTCTTCCAAGCCTTCCAGCTTTATATACTGATTCATTATCCAGCCTTACATACTCTGCCTGTTCTTGGTACTTACTTCTCTGAGCCTTGCACTCCCTTCTTTCATCATTTGCCAAGCAATTCTGGCATTTCTGCTTCCATCTATTTCTCCAAGCCTCCACAAGTCCTAGTAATACATTAGCACCATCTCCTGGCATCCTTGCCAGAATGTTTACACCCTTATCACAGGACTACATTCCTTTTCAATATACTCGCCAGAAAATAAATAAATAAACAAATAAACTCACCAGTACTCAACTATAGGTTCTGCCCTCCTTGATCCAGCCTCCTCAGCATCCAGACCCATATACTCTTCTGGTTCCTACAGACACAGATTGGCGAGGGTCTGCAGTAACTTTAGGGGATAGTGCTTTTTCTAAATTGATTTTAGAGCAAGAGAGAGAGAAACATCGATTTGTTTTTTCCCTTATGTATGCATTCATTGGTTGTTTCTTGTATGTGCTCTGACCAGGGATGGAACCTGCAGCCTTGGTGTATCAGGACGACGCTCTATCCAACTGAACTGTCCAGCCAGGGCCCAGTGGATAGTTCTTTTCCTCCCTTATTAGGCCCAACATTTCCCCTGTTGGGTTCTGTGGTGACTGGACCCTAGTTATTGGTAGTGACCAGGAGGGGAGGAAAGAGGAGATTGTGAGAGGGGAACAGGTTTTATTGCAAAGTAGAGGCCTCTGTCTGTACCATTTTCAAGTGGGCCACTTTTGCAGGCCCTGGGAATTTAGAGGGATTGGTGTTTTGAGATGTTAGCCTACATTAATCCAAACGTCCCCATCCTGCGTCTCAGGGTTCTACTCCTTTCCAAGCAGGTCCTGACCTTGGCAACGCAAACTTCCCGGGGTTGAGAATTCAACCTTATCTGAAGTTATGCTGCTCTTACATTTTACCATCCGGCTTCAAGGAACCTCTGATCTCCATGCTTTTCCTTAAATTGGTGATTAACCACCCTCTCAGCCTTTCCTTGTCAATAGATCTCAGTAACAGCCATTCAATTCCATAGTCCTTAAAACTGCTACCTGCCCAATCTCATAAAGATTTGAGATAGAGCATCCACAGTGCATTCCCTTCCATCAGTATCCCATCCCGGGTCTACACCAGTGACAGATTTAATAATTATGCTACTACAGCCTAACATGCACGGTCAGTACTGCACCAATCTCAGGTGATAGTCCCTCATCGCCAGCAAGATGACTGTCCGATTAGTATTTGGTTGAATAGTGGGAGGTTGTAGCCTAGCCGAGTGGACACATTTGCCTGGTGTGGTAACTTGAGGACTCTCGGACACTCCTCCCATCGAGAGTTGGGGTCTACATCTACCTCTGCTTGATTCTGCACAGACTTGTAACTGGCTTGGCTGAGAGGATGATGGAAGTGATGCTATGAGGCTTCCAAGGGAGCCTCTCTCTTGTTCACTAGATGACTGCTCCTGAAGCCCGGGGCCACCTTGTAAAAAGCGCAACCACCCTCGCACTTCGTGCTGGGAAGGCCACAGTAGGCACTCGGCCAAATCCAGGCTGAGGTCATCCTTAGGCCGCCTCAGCCCAGCACAAGGCAAGCGAGTCAAGAAGCCTTCTTGGAAGTGGACCCTCACCGCCGTCCAACCACCGCCACTCGGGCTCCAGACAGTGCAGCGAGGGGGAGCCACGCGCGGGGTTCCCCGCCCAATTCCCGAGCCACAGAGTCCGTCCGCGCGGTAATGCTTGCCCTTTAAAGCCACCCAGTGGGCAGTGGTTTGCGGGCACAGCATTAGATAACAGGAACACCCGGACTATGCTTTTCGATCCGTTTCTTTTCCAGCATTTGGCGTACGTTTTGAGTCTCTTGTAAACAGCATGCTTTCGGATGTTGCTCTTTTTTTCCAACCTGAGAGTCTCGGAATCGGATTCCTGAGGAGGGATTCGGGACCTTTAACAGAGAATGCCTGCTTACAGCAAAGCCCCAGCCAGCACTTGGGCTTTCACCTTTAGACCCATCTCCGCTCCCCATCCTTCTGGGAACTGTGGCACCAGGTTTACTCCGGTTAATCAGCGGGGCTCCAACCCTCCCTCCCGCGCGCTTCTCCCCCTTCCCCCCCCCGCCCCCCGCCACCCCCTCCGCCACCCCCGCTACATGCTGGGCGCTCCCGCACCTCCAAGTCGCCGCAGTCCTGCCTCCGACCAGGACAACTCGGAGGAAGGGCCCCTTCACCACGTTGACCGCCAACCAGCGAGCCGCGGGGCTGGGCCGGAGGAGGTTGCCATGGCGACCAGTCCGCCGAGAGGCTAGCCGGGCGCGGCTTCCGATTGGCTCCGCGGACACGCAGCGTCGGCCTCGCGCACATGCGCAGTGGCGCCCAGGCGACGTCTTTGCGGACGGGGGGCGCCGCGGCTTCCCGGCCGGGCCTCTCAGGACTGGGGTGGGACGCGCGTTCCAGGCCGAGACGCCCGTGCTCCCCGGCGAGGGCAGTGGCGGAGCCAGAGGCCCCTCTGCGGCGCGGGACCGAGCCCGCCGCCAGGGCCCGCACCGGCCGCCATTGTTGCGGGGGCCTCCGGCCTCTCCGTCCCGGCCGCAGGTAATGATGTCCCGGACGCCCGTGCTGGCGGCCTGCGGGGAGGTGAACACGCGATAAATGCTCTATGGGGGGCGGGGGGAGGGCGGTCCTCGGGCCGAGAGGAGCTCGGAGACCTGCTGGGAAGGGGCGGCGGGGGGGCAAGGCCAGCACCTCTGCGGTGCAGGACCTACTAGACAGTCGGCCTTGGTGACCGTTGCGGTTGCGGAGGGCTCGCAGCTGGAGCCTGTGGACCGACAGGTGTTAGGGTTCTTCTCCGGGCCAGGCCTGCGGGGGTTTCTTCGGCATCCTGGCTCCAGGTGTGTTGGGAAGGAATTGTCTCCTTTAGAAGCACATAAGGGCTTCAGACCACACCAGCTTCTTTTTCCCAGTCCAAGCAGCTGGTCTCCCCTGCCGTCCATGAAAAACTAGAATAGGCCGAAATTAATATGCAAAGCAGGTAAATAGATTTGTTTACAAATCTAAAGATAGAAAGGAAGGAGACCAAGGTAAAGTCTGTATGGTTTAGGGGAGGTGGGGGTTGTGGTGTGGTTTTTGTGTGTTTTTGTTGCTATTAGTCCTCACCGGAGGATAATTGTTTCATTGATCCTTAGAGAATGGAAGGGAGGGTGGGGAGAGAGAGAGAAACATCGACGTGAGGGAGGCACATTGATTGGTTGCCTCCCACACGTGCCAGACAGGCATGGGATAAAACCTGTAACCCAGGTACATGCCTTTGAGCGGAATCGAACCCCTGACCCTTCGGTGCGCTCCAACCACTGAGCGCACTGGCAAGGGTGGAGTCTATATGTTACTTTCTGTGCACACTGAAAAGTCTATTTCTGTTTGTGTGTGTCTATAGGGGAGAGCACCCGGAATACTTGATCTTGTGGTCTGTTCTTGTGTTTTAGGGTCTCTTAACCATCCCTGCAAAGTAGTAGGCTCAGAATTTGTAACTAAGGCTGATAACTCTACCTTGACTCTGTTGTGCCCCTGGCTGCAGCAGCCCTACACATAATGTCCTTGCGGCTCTAGCATGAGACTTCAAGCAGTTGGCTCACCACTAGAGAAATAAAGGATATTGCCAGATTGACTGTCCTGCAATGGCAGCCCCAAGCAAGAGGATGACCAGTTCTTCACGCTCCCAAGTCTTTCTAACGTGGAAGCCAGACAAGGCTCAGAGTGGACCCAACAAAGCAGAAAAGGAAACCCTTGCTTCAAGACTTCTGCATGACACTGAGACCTGTCGACAGAATTTTAGGAATTTTCCATACCCAGACTTGGCTGGTCCTCGAAAAGCATTGAATCAACTCCGAGAGCTCTGCCTGAAGTGGCTGAGACCTGAGATTCACTCAAAGGAACAAATCCTGGACCTGCTGGTGCTGGAGCAATTCCTGACCATCCTGCCTGGGGAGGTTAGAACTTGGGTAAAGTCCCAGTACCCGGAGAGCAGCGAGGAAGTAGTGACTCTGGTGGAGGATTTGACTCAGATTCTAGAAGATGAAGGTGAGAATTATAGAGCATAGAGGGGAGGAGTCCTGGGTGGTTAGAGAAGACAACAAGCATATCATAGAGCAGCCTGTGAAAGAAATGGGGAGAAGGAAGGTCAGTGAGGGAGTGAGAACAGGCTTTAACATGATCCTCATCCTATTCCCCTTCAGATTTCTTAGAACCACAGACACATTCTCTAAACCCAGAGGAGATGTGTCATAAAACAGTGATCAGATACAACCAGATTTCCCCCTTGTGAGCCCTCAGGAAGTTAACCTGCAGAGGTTTGAACCATTCTGCCAATAAATCATTTGCTTTGTGAACTGGGTTTTACAGTAACACTTCCAAATAGATAGAAAAGGGTTCGGATAACATGTGCTTATTAAGTTAAGATACAACTCACAAAATTGACATCACATGAGGATTTAGTAGAAAATGGTGAATTTGGTATATATACTTAAGAGTGCCAGAGCAGACTTGTTCTTAAAGCCTGCACTGATGTCTTAGGACAAGTCCTTGCTTCTTCCTGCTGATTTTTTTAAGTAGGGGGTGCTGTGTTTGGTTTCCTTCTGACTTCTCACTTTAAGGAAATATAGGCATCTATAAAAAAAAAAATAGAGAGAGAAAAAGAAAAAAAATACAGGCATCTATTTGGCAATTCAAATAGGACTGATCCCCAGCATGGTCTCTTTCTCTTCCCTAGCTGCTCCTCCGAACTCTGTCTTTTCCCAAGAGATCCCAGAGGAAGATCCCAAAGGAAGACATGCCTTCCAGGCTGGGTGGCTAAATGACTTGGTGACCAAAGTGAGTTTTAGTGTCTTCTGTAATTTTAAAAAGTCTTCATAGTGTGTGATGACATTTTCTTTCCTGTCCTTCTAACTTCTGTGACCCCAAAAATCCTATCAAGAACTAAGCCTCAGTTTTTCTCTTTCAGTCACGTTGGCCTATTAAGGTGGATGAATGCCCTGTGTAGGAAATGGGGATGCCTTGGCTCACTTATGTACTTTAAGGCAATGATATGGCATTGAGGTTAAGGGATTGACCTGCACAGCCAAATGGATCTAGGTTTGGTTCCTGGTTCTACCATTGAACCTGTAATTTGGTGAAAGATACTTAACCACCCAGCTTGAGTTATTCGACTCTAATACTGAGTTATTCGACTCTAATAGAATATGCCTCTATAATGATTAAATATTATGAGACTCGTTACCCTGTATTGTAGTAAGTAATCAATAAGATCACAGTAGGGTAAACAATAGTTACTAATATTATTTTTCCTCATGAACAAGTGATTAAAGGCAGTGTATTATATGGAGTTACTTTTGATCATTAGTCTATTTTATTTTAAGGAAGAGCAACTCAGGCCATTTTAAGAGAAAGATTTACTGTAAAAACAGATGGTCTGGAATTGGTAACCATTATAAAATTATTTATAGATAATATGAATGTTTACTTGAAAAATCTAAGAAAATCAAGGGAAAAACTGGTAGAAACAATAATAAAATTTGAGTAAAGTGACTAATCATTTTATACATAAAAATCAGATAGATGATAAAATGAAATAAAATATTTCATTCACAATATTCCCCCCCCTTCAAATTTAAAAAAGGTAGAACTCAGCAGAGTATACATTTTGCAATACCTTCATGTTCTGTATCATTCTATAGGATGTGAAAGAAGCCATGAATATTGTAAAAAAAAAAAAAAAAAAGTCAGTTCTCCCTAACTTATAAACTTAATATGATTTCAAAATCCCAATATAAGTTTTAAAGAAACTTAGTTTATTTGAAAACCATGTAAGCGTACTCAAGAATTTTTTTTGCCCTAACCGGTTTGGCTCAGTGGATAGAGCGTCAGCCTGTGAACTCAAGGTCCCAGGTTCGATTCCGGTCAAGGGCATGTACCTTGGTTGTGGGCACATCCCCAGTAGGGAGTGTGCAGGAGGCAGCTGATCGATGTTTCTAACTCTCTATCCCTCTCCCTTCCTCTCTGTAAAAAAAATCAATAAAAAATATATAAAAATATATATATATATATTTTAAAAAAAGAATTTTTTTTAATAAAGGAAGAAAACCAAAGAGAGATGTGAAATGTATCTAAAAGTACAGCAGTTAAACAGTGCGGTGAAGAAAGGAAGGGCTCTGCCTCATTATGGAGCACACAGAATATCAAAGTTTCAAATTAACACATTGAACTTACTCTTACGGCAGAGTTTGAAGAGCAAAACCATTCAATTCTGTGTCATCGATGTTTAAAAGTCTTCTTTAAGGTGGAGCCACCAATGTATGCACTAGTGGCAACTGAAAACAATAATTCCACTCTATTTTCAAACTCCCCTTAAAGCCATTCAGGTATGCTCATCCATATATTGGGTGAAAGTTTTGGCTAGAAAACTTCTATGGCCCTACTAAAACTCAAGATTCTATGATTCTCTCCACCACACACCTACCTGGTATTATCACTATCACTTTCCTACTAGTTCCTGAACCAAGTTAAATTGTATTTGATGTTTTAGGAATCAATGACATTCAGAGATGTGGCTGTGGATATCACCCAGGAGGACTGGGAGCTAATGCGTCCTGTACAGAAGGAATTGTACAAGACTGTCACATTACAGAACTATTGGAACATGGTTTCTCTAGGTAAGCATCATCTACACCCACCCCTCCCCTGCATAGCCACCAGAGTATCTTTTCCCTCCATTATTAAAAACGGGTTGGACCTGTAAAGTACTTTGCTAAGAATGGAAGCCTAGAGATCAGTTGTGCTCATCCCATTTGGGCACAGAAGAGGCTATGTTAGTCCCTTATCCCAAGGGAAAGGTTTCTGAGAGAAGATCATTGAAAACTGATGGGCAGTGTCATGGGGCTGCCACCCAATGCTGTGCCTTGCTCACTCCCTACTTCCCCCATAATCTCCTTCCCCCATGATCTCTAAGCACATATCCTTCAGGGGCCAGCTCTGAAAAGGACAAGGACCTAATTTATTAGGTCACATCCATGAACTGTTGTTTTCCTATAGGGTTCTATCCACTTGGAGAAGAAATCAGGTAATAAAATTTGAACAAATGTTTATACCCAGTATAAAACTCATTATATTCCCCTTGAACAGGACTTACAGTGTACAGACCAACTGTAATTCCTATACTGGAAGAACCATGGATGGTGATGAAGGAAATCTTAGAAGGCCCTACTCCAGGTGAGAGAATCAGTGGTGGATGGGAATCTCTGCACTTAGTCTATAGTACCTGAGTGTGGTGAGAGAGATTTTTAAATATGGGCACGTCACTTTCCACAAAGACATCCAGTCTCAAGAACACTTTCTTGCAGAGACCATCTTCAGGAAAAGATTTTCCTGACATCATGTATCCCCTTATGTCTCATGCATCCTTCCCCATGATCCCGAGTCCCGTCCGCTAGCCTTTGTCTGAGGCTTTCATTGTGCCATCATTCCCTCCCTCTCACTTAAGCATGCATGAATGTCTTCTGAAATCTTAAATTTCAAACCTTCTATTTGAGTTTCTTTTATTTTATTTACTGACAAAACTTTGTAGCCCCCTGCCTCTACTTTCCTAACTCATTCCTTTATTTTTTATTTTCTAAGTTTTTAAGAAGACAGTTTATTCACAAGATCATGTTTTTAATATATAAAATATATTTTTTAATTTAAAGTATTTTATTGATTTTTAGAGAGAGAGGAAGAGAGAGAAACATTGATTTGTTGTTCCACTTATTCATGCATTCATCGGTTGATTCTTGTATGTGCCCTGAACAAGGATCGAACCCACAACCTTGGCATGTTGGGATGATGCTCTAACCAACTGAACTACCCAGCCAGGGCCATTTTAAAATTTTATACAAAGCCAAACAAAAGTCTCGCACTTGTACCACATTCACCCAGTTCACCTAGCTCCTACATCTCCCTAACACACAACCACTGTTACTAGTTTTTAGTTTATTCTTTAAGGCATTTATTTTGTTTTGTTTGCATATAAAGTCAGTGTGAAAATATTTTCTCCATTTTCTAATATAAATGGTAACATACTGTACACATAGTAATGTACTTTGCTTTTATTACTTAAAAGCATAGCTTGATAAGTGTTCCAAATGGGTATGTAAAGAACTTAAATACCTGCATCCAATTTTATTGTGTCTTTCATATTTTATTGAACCTGTTCCCTGTTGATGGACTTTTTGGTGGTTCCCATTCCTTTCTTCCTTCCTTTATTTTGAAAGATTTCAAACCAGTGAAGTTGTAGGAATAGTACATTGAACACCTATATATTTTTTATCTGGAATCACCATTTATCATCATTCAGCCACTTTTGCCTTTTTTATTGATTTCAGAGACCTGAAGGGAGAGAGTTAGAAACTTCAATGATGTGAGAGAATAATCAATTGGCTGCCTCTGGCATCCTCCCCCGCCTCCCCAGGGATTGAACCTGCAACGTGGACATGTGTTCTGACCGGGAATCGAAACCGTGACCTCCTGGTTCATGGGTCGACACTTAACCAGTGAGCAACACCAGCCAGGCTGCCTTATAGTTTTTCCATTGACTTTTAGAGAGAGTAGAAGGGAGGGGAGTGGAGAGAGAGAGAACATCGATGTGAGAGAGACACATTGATTGTTTGCCTCCCGCACACTCCCTGACTGGGCTGGGGATGAACCTGCTACCCATATACATGCCCTTGACTGGGAATGGAACCTGCGACCTTTTCATGTGTGAGCTGATGCTCTAACCATGGAGCACACTGGCCAGGGCTGCCTTATCTCTTTACATGTACACACACATACTTTGCTTTTACACTGAACCATTTGAAAGTTAGTTGCAAGTATCATATCATCTCACCCCTAAATGTTTCAATATATATCTTCTAAGAACATGGACATTCTACAAAAGTACAACACCATTGTCTCCAAATGTTTAATATTTAAATAATAATGTTATCTAATTGATAGTCAAATACTTAGATTTCTCTAGCTGTCCCAAAATATCATTTATAGATGATTTTTCTCCCCAGTTCAGGATCTAGTCAGGAATCACATGTTCCACTTGGTTATCATTGTTTTAGTCCCTTTTATTTTATCTTATTTCTTTTTTAAAAAATATGTTTTTTATTGATGTCAGAGAGAGGGAGAGGGAGAGAAAAGCATCAATGATGAGAGAATCATCGAGATTGGCTGCCTCTTGCACGCCCTCTACTGGGGATCAAGCCCACAGCCTAGGCCCTAGGCACATGCCCTGATCAGGAATTGAACTGTCACCTCCTAGTTCAAGCCACACTGCCTGGGCTCTTAGTCCCTTTTAATCTAGAACTATTCCCCAGTCTTTTCTTCCTTTCCTTCCCTCCCTTCCTCCCTCCCTTCCTCCCTCCCTCCCTCCCTCCCTCCCTCCCTCCCTCCCTCCCTTCCTTCCTTCCTTTCTTCCTTTCTTCTTTTTCCTTTAATCTTTCATGATGCTGACTTTTTTTGAAGGATCCAGGCCAGATTTGTTTGTTTTTTAATAACCCACATTTGCTTGATTATTCCTCATGATTAGATTCTGATTAGATAATTTTGCCAAGAATACTTTATAGGTATGGACTTCCCATTGCATTTCCTTAACAGGTATATAATGTAATTTTATCTCATTATTGATGATAGTTTGGTTAAGGTGAGTTCAGGATCTTCCAACATCACCATCTTGGACCACCTCAATGGCAGCCTTTCAAACTAGTGTCCTTTTGAGATATCACTATTAATTTTTGAGCCTTTCCTTGTTTTTTGGCACAAGATATTCTTTATGCTCACCTTGGGCCTACCTTAGACCTGTAATTTCTCTAAGGAACTGAAAATAGTGCTTAGAAACTAGGATTTGGGCAGTATGTGGACCTCACTACTATGGGGTATTGTTGCTTCTCAATCTGTTCAGTAGATATGTGTATGTATTATGTATGTAGTTTCAGGGGTTTGTTTGATTTTTTTTACTCATGAATTTATACTGATAACTCTAATTCCATTTTATATTTTCCCATATTCCATTGTGTATTTCCTTTCCCATACAATGAATAACCTGGTTCCCAACAATGTCTGTATATTTACCCATTTGCTGTATCATAATAAACACAAAAATGGTTTGGGAATATCAATATCATACAATAACAAACTATCTAGGTTCAGAGTTTCTTCAAAGTCCTTCTTGCCCTTATATATATTCCAGTGAGGCTATACAGAATACTTGGCTCAAAAGTTACTTGAATTCTTCCTCCTAGCCCAGCCATGGGCAAACTACGGCCCGCGGGCCGGATCCGGCCTGTTTAAAATGAATAAAACTAAAAAAAAAAAAAGACCGTACCCTTTTATGTAATGATGTTTACTTTGAATTTATATTAGTTCACACAAACACTCCATCCATGCTTTTGTTCCGGCCCTCCGGTCCAGTTTAAGAACCCATTGTGGCCCTCGAGTCAAAAAGTTTACCCACCCCTGTCCTAGCCATATATATATATATATGGCTAATATGTCCACCTGGGTAATGACATCACATAGCAACGCCCGGCTTCCTCTTCGTAGTGATTAGCCTCCTTGTAGTTTCTTCAGCCCAGGAACACGACTAGCTTTATACCCAGGTGCAAACATTTCACACTGTAACCAAATGTCTGTGAAGTGTTTTCCCATGCCTCATCTCATTTGATCCCCACAGAAGTCCTGGAGTAGGTAGATAGGAGACTTGAGGGAATCCTATTTTCATTAGCTGGAAAATGGAGATTGAGAAAGCTTAGAAACTGACCGGACTGAAAAAAAAAGTAAGAAATGGTGGACCTTAAAAATGACTTCAGGTTTTTTCACTGCACAGAATATAGCCAAACACTGCTGCAGTTATATTATTTACCCTTTGTTCTCCCTGCATGATCTACGATAATAATCTGCTTCATGTTGATATTTACTGCTGTGTTGCTGACAATTACCTGAAAGAGAAGTTGGGGGTGCTTCACTGGGCTGGAAAAAGTTTAGCTAAATCAGAAAGCAGGTCTAATTAAGCAAGTTTATTCTATATCTATAAAAGGCTAAGTTGACTCACGCATGCACGATACATATAAAGCTCTCACTGGTGCCAATCGCACACATGTGCTTCCATCTGTCATTGTCGATCGTGAATTTGGTTGACACTTCTACTAGTATTATAGAGAAAGGGCGAATAGCAATATTAAAATATTTCTTCTAATTAATTTGCTTTCAGTGTGCACAAATTCATGCACCTGGCCACTAGTCATAACATACTAGTATACAGCTAAGTTTGTTTGATTCTGTTTGTGCTCAGTTTTAGTATTTTCTTGTTTTTTAATTTTTTTCTTAACCTGTACATTTTTTAGTATATAAAAACGTTAACATGGTTCAGAACTCAAAACTATGTGGAAAGGTATACACTCTCCAGTGTCACCCCAATAAAGTCAATAAAAGGGGAAAAAATTAAAAATTTAAAAAAAGAAAGATATACACTCTTATATCTTCTGCCTTGTTCCCATTCATTCCCTGTAGTTAAACATGTTCAGTTGTTTCTGATTTGTCCTTTTGATGTTTCTCTTTGCAGAAATCATAAATATAGTCATATCTCCTTTTGTACACTACAGGAGTACTCTATATTCTGTTTGCATTTTGCTTTTCTAATTTTTTAAGTCACTGACTTCTAGTGTGTCTACCAATATTGACGCTGTACTACAGCATTACAGTAAATTAAACAATAGTGACACTACCTTAGAGTGACTTGATTCACTTTTTTAAACTTTATCTGATTTGATTTTTTTTTTACTTTATCTGGTCATTAGGTATTTTAAGGGTCACACTAATTGAAAAGCTTGTTCTTCTTATAATTTATGGCTTTATTTGCCTTGGCAGAGTGACATAAAATATGCCAGTAGCACACTAAGTTCTTTGGGGAATGATTTCAGCACACTCTAAACCAGGGGTGGGCAAACTTTTTGACTCAAGGGCCACAATGGGTTCTTAAACTGGACCGGAGGGCCGGAACAAAAGCATGGATGGAGTGTTTGTGTGAACTAATATAAATTCAAAGTAAACATCATTACATAAAAGGGTACGGTCTTTTTTTCAATAGTTTTATTCATTTCAAATGGGCCAGATCTGGCCCTCGGGCCGTAGTTTGCCCACGGCTGCTCTAAACAATGAGAAAACACACATGGCATAATGGAAATAAGCCT